AAACAATATCATGCGCATAATCAAGAACAAATATCCTTTCACCAAGCAGCACCTCAATGCCTACATCGTAAGATTCCGTAAGGGAACACTCCCTAATGCAGGCCACCACGAAATTGAACAAAAATGGGGAAATTGGACAACCTTGACGAACGCCATTTGTCGGAAATTTATCTGACAGGTCACCGTAGACCCTGACGCGGTCTGTAGTGTTCGAGTACAGAGCACGTAAGATGTTCACATATTTCATGTGGACACCTTTTCGCGCAGGTATTTCGAACATCATCGATCGACTGAATCGAACTCTTTCTTGAAATCGAGAATCACAGCTATTGTCTGTCTGCGGTATGCGTGGCGCTACTCTAGCACCTGCCGCATAGTGAATATGTGGTGCATACAGCCCCGTCCTGGGCGGAAATCCACCTGCTCTTCCGTAATCCGAGATTCCCGTTCCACAGTGAGGCGGCGAGAACCGACGACAGTAACTTTGTCACAACAGATGTTAGGCTTATACCCTGTGGTTTGCACAGTCTGTGTGACTACCCTTCTTGTATATTGCCACTATAATCGATTCAGTCCAGTTAGCCGGTACGCTCTCTTCCTTCCAGATATGTTCGAATTGCGAAGTCACTGCTTCGCAGAGGACCTCACCATCATCCTAAATTAGTGCACATGGGAGGGAATCTGTGCCAGCGGAAGAAAAGCGGTTGGGGGCTCTGATCGCGTTTTTTACCTCCGCCTCCGACGTTGTCTCTAAACTAACCGCCCATGGCTTATGCTGCATCACCTGGGTAGGAAGAGGTCCAGGAGCAGGGAAACAACTGCACTGATCTTGGAAGCCTTCCGCCCAACGAGCCATCCGGCGCTCCTTATTGTGTACCAGCGCACCTGCGCTGCCTGCTTTCCTTATACCCGTGATGCGGATCAGCTGGAAGAGTTTGCGGTAATTGCCTGCTGCTCGTGCCTCCTCCATTTTTTGAGCTCTACTGGTCCACAAGGCTTTCTTGTCAGCACGCAGTCCTCGCTTTAGTTCGCGCCTAACAGTCCGTCTGGTCACACTGTGCTCAGAGCCAGCCGAAAGTTTTTTTCTGGATCCCAACAGATTCACCAACGTCTCAGATATCCAGTGACTGATGCGGTGACGATTGATAGTGCCACAAGCAGATGCACCTGCGTCGTGCATGGCGACGAAGATCCTATTCCACTGAAGCTCAGTGTCATAGAGACAATGGTACGGATGTTCGGTACGCAGTGCGTCTTAATAGGTTTGTTTGATCGAGGGCTGAGACACTCTCAGTTGTCAAACGGGGGACAAGCTTGATGCGCCTCTCGGTAAGGTTCATGGAAAAGCGACAACGTACCAAGGCATGATCAGAGTCGACTCAAGTACTCTAGAACGCTTGAGAATCCAGCACGGAACCACGCCACCTGTAACTTATGGCAATGTCCATCGCTGACCAGCCAAAGGAGAGCCCCAATTGGCACTTCGGGGACAACTGTGTCTAGAGGCAGTGTCAGTTAGAAACAGCTGGTTCTTCGCACACAGTTACATCATACGCTCACCAATGTCAGTCCGTCCGGAGTTAAGCCCATAATTACCACCTAGGTAGGGCTTCAGAAGAGCTCGGGCGCCCTATTTGCACATTCATATCACCTGCAAGTACTATAATATCAGAACTAGTAGCACTGCGTAGTAACGCGTTCAGCACGTGAAAGAATGCATTCTTGACAGCATCAGAACTGCAGTCGGTGGGAGTAGAAGCGGAAATCACAAACAAACAGCGTTTTGTACTACTTCGTTATTCAACCTTAGTTGATGTCGTCAAACGGTCTGCACAAAAACGACTGTTCACCGGAATCCAATTAACCAACGACGGCTCAGCTTTGGAGCTGAGTATGATACCTACCCCAGCTTGACCAGAGGTTGCCGCACTAGTGTCTCCGGATAAGTGAGAGGAAAAGCCGAGCGCAGTTAATTCAACAACTCCAGTAGGGTCATTGATCCTAGTTTCGGACACACTACACACATCAATACCCAACGCGTCAAACGTTGTTTACGAGTGCAGTGTGTTGACCTATTTGTCTTAGAGTGCAAACGTTGAACGTAGTCAAAGAAACGGGACAGCGTCGACTCACAAGGGACTGTTGTCGATAGGCGTCCAGTGGGTGGTGCGGGAAGGTAGCCGCAGTTGGTTCCACTCCAGTGGCATTATGTCTGCTGTCAAATACTCTGGGACCTATAGAAGATAAGTTAGTAATGGGGGTCGGGATGGGAGTAAGAGAAACAGGTGGAAAAGAAAGAAGGGAGGCGCCAGCAGTTACTTGTTTTCGCTTATCCGCCCTGCTGAATGCGGCAGCTAAGGCGAACCTTTATAGTCTGCACGACGGTCGATGCAGCATGTAGTTAGAGTGTGGGTAACTTGTCATGGTTGTGTGTGGGCTGATACTGCCAGGGTGCCCAGACCTAGACAGGAGGACGATTAGGGTCCTCAACCAAAGTTGTTGGCTCAAAAGTCTGTCTGCAAGGCAGCGGGGAGGTGGCAATGATTTAGTTTTACAGAAATTGACGCCATCCCATTTCAAACTCCAACCTGGAGGACCAGGAGACTGAGTTTTTCTGGCCTCTAACCATTGACCAAACCTGTAAGAGTAGCTCTCATGGGGCCGGGGGCATCAACCACCATAGCTCAATGGGTCAAGGTAGTACGCAAACCGTCGCACCATTTTATGGTCCAGTCTAGCTGCGACAGGCTCTTGGTACTAAGTATGAAGAAGCATAGTCAATGGCGGGGTTCATCTCTGATCAGCACCGCGATGCATTCTGTGGAAGCGTACGCTAGATTAGTAAATATATGTCTTGTCTTTAGATGGCACCTATCAGTCAGCTGGACTGTGCATGCAATCACTGCAGGGCATTCGATTAGAATGAATTCAGTAGTTTTGCCATCACAAAAACGCAAAACCACCGATCACTCATCAGTTGAAACCCGGAGAAGTTAGACGTTGGTATCGAAACCGCGATAGGCAGTTGAAGATTTTATATGGCATTGTCGGCTTGAACGCGTGTCTCGGAAATGCGGTACACACTGGACAGGTGTTGTCTGGCTTGACGGTGACGGTAACAAAGCACCTTCACACAGGCAGTGTGAGAGAGAACTCACACCACTCAAGACGGGCACCATGCGAGCATACTCTTCACGCCGTAAACGATTGTCTTCCATGAGTAAGAGATCAGTGATGACGGACGATTAATCTCATCGTTAGTGTGATTGACTTGTGGCCTTCTGGACGTTGTTCTGTGTATGTCGGTCCTTCGCCTCTGCTGAAATGCTCGATAAAATACTTTTGGGGTCTGTGGTCTGGTTGCCTTGCTCTACTGACAACGGTCGTCTGTTGGCTCTTTTGGCAAGTTGAAGTTTCATCAATAACTCAAACTGGTGATCGTCTGGTTTTGCTTCTTCTGGTTGGCACCGCGTTGATGGTAGCTGCTTTGCATAGCGTTCTGTTCCTGTAGACTTAAGCAATGCGTCAAATTTTCCATCATTTTAATTTGAGCCTCCATTTGGGACTGCTATTTAAGAAGCAGCTTCTGCAATTTTTCAGGATAGAAATTTTCCACGTTTTCAAATTTCTCGTCGTCATTTCTTGTACTCTTCCCACTTGTTCGTATTGCGAAGTGTGCACTTAACCGCTCCGCAAGACCACTAGACCAACCGGAGGAAAAATCGAACGCAAATGACCCAGACCTAATAACTCGTTAACCACCGCCAACAACACTGCAATTGAAGCAGACCTTATTCATGTTTGTAGGATATTCACTGGCCTTCCGAGCTATGAAGGTCTATTGGCGAAATTAGCAGCGCCATACCGACCCAGCAATCCTTGCAGCATTCCAGAAAGTTCGAAATCGATGCAATAATCGATAACAATCCATTAATCGCTAACATAATGACTTATCCGGGAAATTATTATCTTCTCCGGGACATGCCTACATTTGCCTGTTAAGATCGCAATTATTTTTAGCGAGTTCCGAGTTCGTTGTCCAACCGCTTTTTGTGTGGTTTGTTGCTGATCCCAACCTGGGCCTATCTTCGCCGTTTTGTTACTTACATTCGTACTTGATCCGCGTTAACTGTTTATAAAGATAGTCGGTGTAACCCGAATCAACTTATGGATGCTTTTCTGTTGCAGTGTGGTTTTTGTTAACATGACACCAGTCCGCGTTGGAATTACCACACCCGCATCGGTACGTAACCGCGTACTTCAACCTAGACTAAAAATGCCGAAACACCCTTCGGTCACACAAATGTCATTTGACGTTGTTACTGGTACTGCTTTTATAGAGACCACAACTTTAACTACTCTTGTGACCTGCTTGGTGTTTTCGTTTTTCTTCTGCCCTCACGGAGACGTGTCTTAGTTGTTTTTCTCTTGACTATTCGTTACATTTGTGCTGGTTCCCTTAACCAGAGCATGTTCTGGCATTGCTTGTAAAAACCGTTACTCGTGAGTCATCCACTCCTGGGCCTTTACGTGACGGCTGGTGTTCGCGAAGTTTAATGCATTCTTTAACCGCGGTCTTAATATTTTGCCTTAGCATCAGAACACTTTGTCTTCCATTTGGTTAACCTGTGATCTGTTCCTTGTATAGAAAAGGAACCAGTATCATCCAAACTATGCATCCATCTTTTTACTCCATGTGGGTGCTCGGGCTGATTTGGGTACTGCTTCACCAAGGGTGACCTATCCTTAACCTCTCACACCATTCGGTAGGCGTGCGTCATGTTCGATCTTTCTCATTTCACATCTAGCTACATTTTCATGTGTGGTTCCATCCTTTTTAGACATTTACACTAGGTTCCACTGTTTCTTTCACCGCTATTCATTTTTTGTGGCTTGCAATTTCGCTTACCTTGGTCTCTTTTCAATTGTCTTACTTGGCTGTTCCACCTTTCGCTTTAGCCTCATTCTGTAATGCTTTTCGTCCCGTTTGTGCTATCCAGTGCTTCATGAACTCAATAATTCAGTGTTTGAGTAACACTCAACCGCTGCTGGATTACTGTCTGTCAAACCGTTACAACATGGATCTGAACAAAGCGAGCACCATGCACGGGACTTTGTTTGCCTGTGAGTTTTTCCACAATCATCTCATTGTTCATTTGTCGTCTGTCTTTAGATTTTTGAAGCAGGTTTCCATTCTGTTTTTAGTGCAACAATTAGTGAATTTAATTAAGTGAGCTTCATCGCAGCCAGTTTCCAAATCAGATAGTCGTCCACATGCGATGAACCTCACTTGATTACATCAAAATCCCCTACTCATGAGTACCTCAATAGTTCAATAGTTCAATAGTGTATGATGGGATAAAAAGCATTGGCTTTACAAGACCCATAGGATGGTAAATGCAAAATAAGTACAAATCATTAGATTCCGACATGGAACTGAAATGCCAATAGTCTAAACCTGGTACATTACACCACAATGTGTTGTTTGTCACTCAGATGAATGTCTAACAATTGTTTGAAGGCTGTAATGTTCGGAGCGTTTACCACATGCGTTGGCAAGTCATTCCATTGTGAACAGATTCTAAGAGAGTAAAAATATTTTCTGCAGTCTAATCGGGAGTGTTGGATTATCAGCTTGAGGTTATGACCTCTCGATCGCTTATATGAGGCTAGGGTGAGCAGCGATTTGCACGGGTGATCGCTTTCCGTTAATATCCGGTATGCGAGAATGAGATCTCCGCGTAGTCGTCGGTATTCGGAGGAAAACATTCCGATTAAACTGAGACGCACTTCATAATTGAGACCAGATAATCCGCGTGTTGCCTTGGTAGCTCTTCGTTGGGGCTGCTCTAAGAGATGAATGTCTCGTTTTAACCATGGGCACCAAGCCTGGACGGCATATTCGACGTGGGGACGGATATAGGAGTTGACAAGCATGGGTACCAGCCGTCGTTCAAAAACACCAAAAGCTCGCCTCAAAAGTCTCAGGTTCATGTTCGCCACGTTCGCTGCTTTGGAACATTGGAGCGAATTCCCCAGACTTTCTTGCACAACGATACCTAAGTCTTTTTCTGTGGTCACGCGCCGTAAAGCGTACTGCCCCAAGAGGTACGTGTTGGCAAGATTGCTGCGCAATGACAGTAGGTGACACTTGGCAGGATTCAGTGGGAGATGATTTATATCTGCCCATTTGTTGATTCTATCCAAATCATTCTGGAGGAGGGCACAGTCTGATGTTGAGCGAATAACTCTCCAGATTTTTGCGTCATCTGCAAAAATTTGCATCGAGGATTGAATATTATCCGGGAGGTCGTTAATGTAGACCAGAAAAAGGAGGGGACCAAGGACGGATCCTTGAGGAACACCGCTGGAGATGCAGAGGGTTTCCGAGAGGGCATCGGCGACTCTGTTCTTGATCGTTCTGTCATGCAAATATGCTGATAGCCAGGTGAGTAGGGAACCATGGATATCGTAGGCACGAAGCTTATGAAGCAGAGCTAAGTGATTGACTCTGTCGAATGCCTTCGAAAAGTCTAGGTAAATCACATCAAGGTGAGATCCTTCATCAAGTGCTTTGGTCCATGAATCCCGAGCAAGAAGCAGATTTGTGAGGCAAGATCGTTTGCGCCTAAAGCCGTGTTGGAGGTGAGAAATTAGCTTCAGACTCTCAAAATATCGTGTAATTTCATCTGCAACTAACGATTTCATTACTTTTGATAACACAGAGAGGAGAGTAATACGTCGGTAGTTGACAGGATCCGATCGCTTACCTCCTTTGTATATCGGAGTGACTATCCCGCTTTTCCACTCAGACGGAAGTGTTTGGGAATTGAGTAGACTTTGGAAAAAGCTAGCGAGGTGTGCTGCTATGGTGGGAGCAAGAGTTTTAAGAACTTTGGGTCTGATCTTGTCGACTCCCGGAGCGCTATTTTCTCTTAGAGACCGTAGTTTGCTAGCGACAGCTGCTGAGGTAAAAGTGACAGTTGATATGCCGACCACGTAGGGTGAATGCTGGTTTGGCAAAGGTTCTATGGCGTTTGCAGTCACTGTGCCAAACTGCAGAAGTAATGCGTTCGCAGCATCCACAGCAGTAGTCGTTAGGCCACCATCCGTCTTGAGTGGTGGTATTCCTGTTTTAACTTTTCTTCTGCTGTTCACGTACCTGTACAGCAGTTTTGTATTGTTCGTGAATTTAAGCACCAAATTAGTGAATTTGCTTTCCATTCGGTTCCATTAACAGAGTTGTCGTGTTGAACTGGATCGCTTTGCTCAAGCAGGTAGCTACCCAGTGTCGTGTAATAGCCCTCCGTGAAGCGAAAACTAAGTCTGGGTCTCGATCAACATTCTCTATTTTAGGAAAACAAAAACTCATTTTATACTTCCTATCCATTAGAGTCACTCACAATTTGGTGGCTGATCTCACCCAATCGACCCACTACTGGCTATTACTTGCACTCTGTTCTCGGCACTCCAGATCAATTATCAACTTTCTGCCATCGATTTGGGCTATCGACGCGAGGCAACACAAAATCGGTCCGGGGTGATTGCTGCTTGTTCGACAGCTACCACCACACGCAGTATTCCTACTCCCAAGAGTATATCATGTTCTTGTGTGCATTGCCGCAACTGCAGTGTCTGTAATTTGATGTTCAATCTAGGCATGAAAATAACCGATCAAAGTAGCTCGTATGTGTTCCTCACTCGACTTACAGGGCGTTGCTTTTCACTAGTTCTCCTTATCTGCTTGTATATCAACGTTCAAGTAAGTTACCCTAGCTTCCTACCCGTCACGCTTCCACTCCTTGGGATATCGCCCTGATAACTGAAACATGGCTGAATACTGAGATTACTGATGTCGAGATAACCCTGTCCGGCATGACTCCTACGAAACGGCCGATCCAGCAGAGAAGGCGGAGTGCTCTTATAGTATCGATCTGACCTGCGTATGATATCATTGCCATTCCAGATACGCATCTTGTCGGTTCTATTTGTTGCCGTCTGCATCTGAAACGTGGTGATGTGTGTTTACTTGCAATTATGGATCGCCCTCAAACCTCCACCTTGGAAATGGTTCACCGACTGACGTCTGCTGTGAAGCGAATAGTAGCACGGTCATACAGTTATCGTTTTGGTGGGGGACTTTAACCTGCACGCAATCTAAATCCCGGATTCGCTCTGCTAACAACTCAAAGCGGACTTGCATAAAGTAATTGCCGATATACCACTATACAACCACATCACTGCTCCCACGAGATTCAGAAATACCAACGAACCATGTCTTAGATCTTTGTTCACCAGCAAGGAACTATTGATGCAGTAAAAATAATTGCACGGCTTGGCCGTAGCAATCACGCGACGCTTCTCTTCCGCTGCATCTACTACGCGGAATACATCTGCGAAACCGGTGAGGAAGTTCACATCACCCATTACGGTAAGCTCTGAACTCCTTCAAGAAACCAGCTAGTCTCCTAGCTGAGCAGCCTCCAGACGTCACCTGAAGGAATTTGTCACCCTGTTAAGCAGGCTAGTAGCAACCGCGTCTGAAACCAATCTTTCCCCTGAAGCAAATGTAGTCCTTCCTGAGGAGCCGGACACAAAAACTCATGGCCCTAAAGGATTCGGCATGGCGCGCTTATAAAGTCTGTCCTGGCCTGGGATGGCAACATAACTCAGCAAAATCACTGCGTTAAGTTAGTCCGCGACGACAAACAAGACTTAGCGAAGAAATTCACCACTAATCCTAAGGTGCTCTACAGGCACATAAACAGGCTCCGGAGGATGCAATGCGGCATCCCAGTTCTACGTGCAGTAGATAGTCCTGTGCTGACTACACAAGATGCGGCGAACGCGCTTCGGCAATAGTTTACCTGCACTTTCCAAAGGGAATCGTCATCTCACTCGTTCTTGACACAATTCAATCCGCTCTCTGGAATAACCCACGTACCATTCACTGCTGCAGATGTGATGGAAAGGCCACTTACTTGAGCGTACATACCTCTCCTGATGTGGACAATATCAGATCGAAGACATTACAGACAGCCATGTATCTTGCCGAGCGGTTGGGCCGGTTCTTCCAACGAAGTCCTGAGAAAATGCAGGTTCCGTTTGTGTGTAAACAGGGAATAGTTGCTCCCATTTTCAAGAATGGGAATCGTGCGGATCATCCCAACTGCCGCCCAATCACCCTCCTCCCATTGTTATCCAAAGTTATGGAAGCAATAATTGCAGAGGCGCTCATGGGATACCTTGAGAGCAACAACATCATAGTGTCATAGCAGCGCTGATTCCACCGAAATCTGTCCTACACCATAGACTTGTTACTAGCCCGTTCAACCTGGTCGAAGTCAGCGAGACTGTGTACACAACCTCAAACTGATAGACGCCCATTCCACGGGCCCAGGTATCACCACTTCAAGATTGCGGTTTCAGATTTTTCAGTGTGCGAACTTATTTTCGGTTTTCGAACACTTTTAGATTGTGGTGATGTAGCTGCCAGGAGCGTTGAATCAATCAACGGTTTCTGGTCATCAGGAGTCAATGTATTAGGAAATTACCAAGTGGATACCGGAGTATGGGACGACTCCCGAGAGTATATCTGGTCGTTCTCACAATTGCCAAACAGTATGTTGATATCGTTCGCATACTCTAAATTAACCAATTCTCCCTAAGCAGCGTCGCGGTGTCTGCACCATGATGTCCACTAGCGAGCGCTGAATGCTGGGGTTCACAGTGAACGTGAACATTAGCGAAGAATCGAGCCAACCTTGGCGATCACCACCTGATCCCGTAAGCCTTTACATAACCCATATTGTTCTAGCACAGAGCACGTAGCATGTTCACATATTTAGTGAGGTCGATATTTCTAGTAAGCTTATCGAATACAATGAAACGAGCAACTTAGTCCAATGGTCATTGGAAATTAAGGAGTACCGCTATAGTCATCTTGCGGACGTGTAACACTGATCTACAACGTGCTCTAGGGAGATAATAACTTCAAAACAGCGACGTTTTTGACTTTAGCTTTTGCACTTTCAATAGGGCGATGGACTGCAATATATATATATATATATATATATATATATATATATATATATATATATATATATATATATATATATATATGC